GGCAAGAGGGGGAAAGTATGAGGAAATTAGTTTTACCCAAAGCTCTTATATGGGTGTGAAGCGTGGGTGATGAAATTTTTTCCCGCGAGGAGAAGGCTGGAAGGGGAGTGGAGAAAGTCCCTGTCAGGGCAAAGTGGGGGTGGGGAATATAAGCAGGGGAATTCGTAGTTTGGAATTTTGGGGGGAGGTGCGGGATTAAACCAAAAATGTTGTCCAGAGGGCTAGGAAGGGGTTTTTTAGGGTTCGGGCTTTTAGAAAATGGAGGGGAAACAGAAAGGGCTTCAAGAGTGTAACAGCCCGTAAAGGGAAAGGGAAAGGGGGGGTAGGGTTCCCGGGCCCAGGGGGGGTTGGAGGGAGGGGTTAAAAAGGGGGTTTTGTGTGGGGGGGCTTGGACTTCCAGCAAAGGGATGCGTGAGCGGTTTTATAGGAGTTTAATGGAGACCCAAAGGGTTTTTTAAAACTTTTTAAAGGCTGTTGGGGTGGGGGGCAAAAATAACATTTAGAAGGATTCAGGGAAACCGGCAGGCCGGACTTGAGTCCTGGAGATGGAAGTACAGTGCCTGCACTCTGAAGGAGGGTGTTAATGTTGCAGTTTAAAAACTGTAGTGTAAAGCACCCTTCTGGCAAGACAGTGATGGAGTGAATGATGGTGAAAGTTTTTCTTTTTGGGCCACCCTGCCTTGGTGGGAATCGGCCGTGTGATAATAAAAAAAATAAAATCTTACTGCGGCTTTTTGTTGGGTTATTATTGGCTTTAGGTGTGTTGCTGCAGTTGAACCCCAAGCACAGAAGCATAGGTGAGGTATGGATATATAAGTGAATGGTATAGTGTGAGAAGGGCAGTTTGCGCACGTAGTATCGTATCTGGAGAGGATCCCAATCGTTTTTGGATACTTTTTGGTTATGTGTTGGATATGGGTCTGAAGTTCAGGTTGTTGTCGAGGTAAAGCCTAGAATTTGCCCTCATTATGCCTGGTAATTAGAGTGTTGTCGATCTTAATGTTAATTTGCGCATCTCCTGCTCTGCTACCAAACATATGTAGTAGGTTTTGTCAACGTTAAGCGTAAGTTTATTGGCTGTCAACCAAGTCGATATTTTGATCAGCTCCTCAATAACAATGGTGTTGAGGGTTGCAAGATTAGGGTGAGAGATGACACAAGTCATGTCGTCAGCAAAGAGAATGGGGTTCAGGTGTCGAGATACGTTTGGAAGATCATTGATGTATATGAGGAAGAGCAGGGACCAAGGACACTTCCCTGTGGAACTCCAGTATCAAGTGGCTGTGTTGTTGATGCTGTGTCTTTAATGGTGACATACTGATACCTATTAGTAAGGTAAGATTTGAAATATGCAAGCGCATGGTTAATCATAGAATTGATGAGGGAAAAAAGTTGAGTGGTGCATTGAGGTATATGTGGAGTCAAAAAACGTTATCTATGGAGGCAAAGAAGGGAATGTATGAAAGTATAGTAGTACCAACACTCTTATATGGATGTGAAGCTTGGGTGGTAAATGCAGCAGCGAGGAGACGGTTGGGAGGCAGTGGAGATGTCCTGTCTAAGGGCAATGTGTGGTGTAAATATTATGCAGAAAATCGGAGTGTGGAAATTAGGAAAAGGTGTGGAGTTAATGAAAGTATTAGTCAGAGGCAGAAGAGGGTTGTTGAGGTGTGTGGTCATTTAGAGAGAATGGATCAAAGTAGAATGACATGGAAAGCATTTAAATCTATAGGGAAGGAAGGCGGGGTAGGGTCGTCCTCGAAAAGGTTGAGAGAGGGGGTAAAGGAGGTTTTGTGGGCGAGGGGCTTGGACTTCCAGCAAGCGTACGTGAGTGTGTTAGATAGGAGTGAATGGAGATGAATGGTACTTGGGACCTGACGATCTGTTGGAGTGTGAGCAGGGTAATACTTAGTGAAGGGATTCAGGGAAACCGGTTATTTTCATATAGTCGGACTTGAGTCCTGGAAATGGGAAGTACAATGCCTGCACTTTGAAAGAGGGGTTTGGGATATTGGCAGTTTGGAGGAATATGTTGTGTATCTTTATACGTATATGCTTCTAAACTGTTGTATTCTGAGTACCTCTGCAAAAACAGTGATAATGTGTGAGTGTGGTGAAAGTGTTGAATGATGATGAAAGTATTTTCTTTTTGGGGATTTTCTTTCTTTTTTTGGTCACCCTGCCTCGGTGGGAGATGGCCGACTTGTTAAAAAAAAAAAAAAAAAAAAAAACTTTTGTTAGGTAGGATGTAACATTCATATATTATTATTATGTGCTCATAGTTCAAGTTTTGATTGTCTAACTACTGTAATTATCGCTTGTGGCTCATTACTCTGTCGGCTTCTGTGTTGCTGGTCAGCAACTGTCCACGGAGCTATCACGTGATCGAGGGGGGGTGTTCACACCTCGCCTGAAGTAGTCAGTCTGGGCTAGACTCTCTTGGTGGTTTTACGTATTCCTGGCAAGGCGTGCCTAACTCTCCCTTATTGGCCCTTGTTGGAAGATTGTCTCTGTCTCATTATTGTTGTAGGTTCTGTAGAACTATTCACAGAACATTGTCTAGACTTAGTGATTTTCGACGTTGTACTGAAGTTGTGTGTCGCATAGACACTCTGAGCAACTCAGGTCCTGAGCTGTAGCTTCTGACCTAATTTGTACTGGTATCTGTGTACTGACACAGTCAGGGATTTTCTTATGCTGAACTTAGATTCAGTAGTATGGGAGTTTTGTGACTTTTGTGGAGGATCTGCTGATGGTCCCTACTTAGTGGTGTTATATTATCTCCTTGATCCTGATTCTGTGTTGCTGTTGCTTGTTACATTGTTGTTCGGCTTAGCAGTCGTTTTATTGTTCAAGCAAGCTGTTCTGATTGCCAGGTGGTCAAGAAGTTGGTTAAGGTGAGGACTTTGTCAGTCACTGGTTTAAGTCTAGTCGAGTCGTGAGACATAGCGAACTACTTAGAGCACTTACACACATACACACAAACTTATTTATATATTGTATTATTAAATGTTAATGTACCAGACGGTACTTAAGACATAAATATGTGATATGTGCTTTCAGCACAATACTACTGTACACGAGAGAAGTGATTATTATTAATTTGTTTGAATTGATTAATTTAATTTAATTTGATAATATATCTCTAGACTGTGATTAATAAATTTATTAAATTTTAATTTCTCTAGTTAGTAGCCTACCCGTTGTAATCCTGAAGCACTATTAATTCTTATTGAATTCTAATGGATAATTGGACCAGGATACTGACTAACTGTTACAAAAACCCAGTAACAGGCTGGATGCTAGAAGGGCAGTCCTTTCTAGTATTCACTGGAGATCTCTAAGCTTTTTAGAAATCGCGGTTTTTGTAACAGTATTAGAGGCCACTCCCTCAACTACCTAAAATCATACCTTAGTAACAGAACTCAATATGTGTATGCAAATGATGGAAACTCTTCCACCCAACCAATCACAGTAGGAGTCCCACAAGGAAGCGTCCTTGGACCACTCCTCTTTCTCATCTACATCAATGATCTACCGAATGCATCACAGCTACTCAAACCCATATTATTTGCAGATGACACTACATATGTCTTTTCCCACCCAAACACAGTCAATGCCGAATTGCAGAAAATATCTGTCTGGATGATGACTAATAAACTTACCCTGAATACTGATAAAACCTAAATCATTCAGTTTGGAAATAGCTGCAAATGATTCGATTAACATAACGCTAAATGGATCATCAGTCACAAGACTCACAGAGGGAAAATTCCTAGGTATCCACCTTGACAGTAGCCTTAAGTTCCGGACACACATACAACAAATCACCAAGAAAATCTCCAAGAACGTAGGCATACTATCAAAGATTAGGTATTACGGTCCACAATCAGCTCTCCTGGCACTGTACCATTCACTCATATACCCTTATCTTACATATGGAATTTGTGCATGGGGATCAACAACGTCCAATCACCTAAAACCCCTCATAACCCAGCAAAAGGCAGCAGTAAGAATGATAACGAATTCCCACTCCCGCCAGCACACTCCACCAATTTTCAAAAGTCTGAATCTGCTCACCATTAAGAACATCCATACTTATTCATGTGCCTACTACATACACAGAACAATACACACAAATATAAACCCTCCACTCAAACTTCTCCTCACCAACCTAAACAGGACACATGACCACAACACAAGACACAGATCTCTTTTTGATATACCTCGTGCCCATATCACACCATGTAAAAACTCTATGCACATAAAGGGCCCTAAAATATGGAATTCATTACCAGAAGATATTAAAGTAACCCAGTCTGAAAACCAGTTTAAGACTCTTCTCAAAAGCCACTTAATCACCCTAGACTAAATGCTAAATACTCAGTACACACTTACTCATCTATGAACTCCCACATAATAACTTCAACAATCACTTTGAACCTTTTATCCATTGTTGACAGGAATATAATTGAACCATTGTTTTCCACAAAAAGCATTTTAGACTATAAGAATATATCCTTTGTCTTATACAAATTTAATTCACTTATAATTAATAATCTACTGTTCAACTATGAAATAATTACTGTCCTACTGTACAACTATGATAAAATCCTTAGTGTTAAGTAGTCTGTAAGCCAATAATGTTAAGTTGGCCCATAATGCCTAGGCATAATAGAGGCTCTCTTTGTATTGCAACCCACTATTGTAAATATAAAACCTCAATGTACTGTTTGCAAAGACATAAAATAAATAAATAAATAAATAAATAGGCTTGCTAGATGATGAAGCATCTTCTACTCAAATTAATATTATCATTATTAGGAAGCAACTTACCTGTAAGGGTCATACAGCACCTTGGGAACAGCAAGTAGTCAAGTCCAATCCTTGGGAATGAGTAGAACTTATTCTTTGAATCAAGAGCCTTTTACAAGCAACAAGGTACTCCACTTGAAAGGCCTACCACCTTAAAATGGCAGACATCACAAAATGTAGCTCACCTGAGAGTCTGAGCATAGGTAGGTCACAGTGGCTAAGCAGGGAAGTTCCCGCTCCACTAACTGGAAGCAATTGGGTCGCTCAAAGAAACTGTCGTGCACTTGATAGAGATACGAACAATTCAAATCAATTAGGCCTCTTGGTTTAGTGCGCTGCAACAAGAAAGTCAAAATTAATCATAATTTATCAGAAAATAGGATGCTACCTTGTTAAGAAGCATATTCTTGTGTATGGATAAGGCTGAAATTAAACTGGTGTAAATGGTGAAGAGAACATTCTGAATATGTCCTGAGTGCAGGTGAAGTGAAACTGTGAATATGACTGAATTTGCTAGTGTGAAACAGGAGCAAAAATAACACCAAAAGTTATAGTTATGTTTAAGATTATTATTTACTGATGGCTTCAGAGGTCATTACCTCTTAGCCCATTACTATACCAAGACTAATGGTTGCTGACCCAATCAGTTAAGCTGAGTATGAGAGAAGCATGTGCCTCCAACTAAAGTATCACCATTTGACAGATCAGCAACTGACTGGAAGAATCCTGATTCTTTTTGAAAGAGAGCTAGAACCCAGTTCATAATTTTGTTATACATATATGAAGGAAGAATATTCAAAAGTCTTGAACCTTCACCAGTTAACAGGCACATGGGTTCAACCCTGACAGGCTAACTAAACTGTTGCTGCTAGCAGACTGCAGCCTATATAGCAATCACAGCACTGATGACCTGGACTATCTTACTGAAACTTGGGCAATGTGTGATGGAAAGATGCTTCTTAACGTACACCAAAAATGAAAGAAATCGGATCATAAATAATGGAGTTCACTTCTCAGCCATTACCCGCCCCTTAGCAGTATTTTCATATGGTTTTTATGGTTGTATTCTCATTTTTTTGGTCTCATTTGATAGAATGGAAGATATATTACAGAAATAGATATGATTTTGATTGCTTTCACAACGAAAAGTACCTTGAAATTGCTCTCCAAGTAGCAGAAATGTTCGAATGGGTTAACACTATTTATACAATAATTACAATAATGCAGAAGTCTGCATAACAGTAAATCTTCTAATTTTTGTATGAATAAAAATTACAAATTAGCATTTATATTGTAATAATAATAATAACAATAATAATAAAAATAATAATAATACGTATAATAATAATACACCTACCATCCGACTTACAACCTGCTCGACATACGACCACTCATACTAACAACCATACTGTTTACAGCTTAGATTAAGTTATTTGGTTCTTTTCTGTTTATGCATACAAATGTTTTTGTATGTTTTCATGCATACAAATGTTTTGTATGCAAATAAACAACTGATTGTGTTGTCAGACTTGCATCCATTTTGGCTTACGACCAGTTGGTCAGAACCAAGCTCGGTTGTAAGTCGGACGGTAGGTGTAGTATAATAATAATAATAATAATAATAATAATAATAATAATAATAATAATAATAATAATAATATGTATATGTATAATAATAGTATAATAATAATAATAATATAATAATAATAATAATACACCTACCATCTGACTTACGACCTGCTCGACATACGACCATTCGGCTTACGACCGTGTTTTCTAAGCCAAATTTCTGGGAAATAATCAACTGTTTGTGTTGTACACAGTGTTTCTCCTAAACCTTACAGTATAAAATACAGCACTAACAGCATAAAAAGTAAAGTAAAAAATGAAATTCTAAAATAAAACAATAAAATAGTCATTACAAAAATGTGATGTTGATATTCAGTAGTAAAGTTCGACTTACATCCATTTCGAGTGGTTGGTCGGAACCAAACTCGGTCGTAAGTCAGATGGTACCTGTAATAACAATACAAATAAAAATAATAATAATAATAACAATGCCTGCACTTTAAAGGAGGGGTTTGGGATACTGGCAGTTTGGAGGGATATGTTGTGTATCTTTATATGTGTATGCTTCTAGACTGTTGTATTCTGAGCACCTCTGCAAAAACAGTGATAATGTGCGAGTGTGGTGAAAGTGTTGAATGATGATGAAGGTATTTTCTTTTTGGGGATTTTCTTTCTTTTTTTGGGTCACCCTGCCTCGGTGGGAGACGGCCGACTTGTTGAGAGAAAAAAAAATATGTATAATATAAATACAGTGGACTCCCTGTTATTGGCCGCTTCTGTTATCGGACAACTCGGTGATTAGCTGGTTTTTCGGCACCCTGTTATAAGCCGTTAATTCGATGACCAGCCGTTTGGGACGCGTCCGTCCGCCGGATGGGGTCGCTTGCGTGTCAGTTTGGCTGTGTCTTTCGGTGTGTGAGGAAGCTTCTGCTCTTACAACCAAACATTTCACTTGTTTTCCAATGTTTTATGAGGGTTTTTTTGCAGTGCAACTGGGGAAATAAGTGACCTTGGCTCCACAGAAACTTACTAGTAAAGTTCCTGTGGCAAAGGAAGTCAGACACACCACGGAATATAAGAATGAAGTGTAGCAGGCATGCAGGGAGTGTAGCATGCATGCAGAGAGTGTAGCAGACATGCAGGGAGTGAAGCATGCATGCAGAGAGTGTACAGGCCATGCAGGGAGTGGTAGCATGCATGCAGAAGTGTAGCATGCAATGCAGGAAGTGTAAGCAAGCATGCAGAGAGAGTAGCAGCAGGCAGGGAGGTGTAGAATGCATCAGAGAGTGTAACAGGCCTGCAGGGAGTGGTACAAGCAGGGAGTGAAGCATGCATGCAGAGTGCAGCAAGCATCAGAGAGTGTAGCAGGCATGCCGGGGAGTGTAGTATGCATGCAGAGAGTGTAGGCAGCATGCCAGGGAGTGTATCATCATCAGGAGTGTAGCATGCATGCAGGAGTTTAGGCATGCAGCAGGAGTGTAGCATGCATGCAGAGAGTGAAGCCAGGCATGCAGGGAGTGTGCATGCATGCAGAGAGTGCAGAGCAGGCAAGCAGGGAGTGTAAGCTTTATGCATAGAGGGATCTGCATGCAGTGAGTAAGCATACATGCAGGGAGTGTAGCAGGCAGTGCAGCGAGTGTAACCAGCCCAAGCAGGAAGTTTAGCAGGCACTGCAGGAGTGTACATGCATGCAGAGAGTGTAGCAGCCATGCAGGAAGTTTTAGGCCGGCATGCAGAGGCGTGTAGCAGCCGGCATGAGTGTAGAATGCATGCAGGGAGTGTAGCATCCAGCTGGAGTGGTAGCACATGCAGGGAGGTGTAGCAGGCATGCTTATGAGTGAATAGGCATGCAGGAGTGGAACAGGCATGCAGGGAAGTGTAACAGGGCATGCAGCGTGTATCAAGCATGCAGGGAGTATAGGATAGCATGCAGGAGTGAAGAAAGGAAAGCAGGAGGTGTACAAGGAATGTAGCGATGTACCATGCATGCAGGCAGAGTAACAGGCATGCATGACGTGGTTGCAGCACGGAAGGAGTTAGAAGGCATGCAGGGGAGCTTACAGGCATGCAGGAGATGAAGCAGACCATGTCCGAGAGTGTAGCAGACAAGCAAGAGTGTAACAGGCATGCAGGGAGTGGAGCAAGGCATGCAGAAGTTGTTTCCGGCATGCAGGGACTGTAGCACCTGCAGACTGTAGCAGGCATGCAGGGAGTTTAGCAGGCATGCAGGGAGTGTAACAGGCATGCAGGGACCGTAGCAGACATGTAGGAGCAGTGGTAGCAGGCATGCAGGAAGTTGTAGCAGACATGCAGGAAGTGTAGCAAGCATGCAGGAAGTGTAGCAGGCAATGCTGGAAGTGTAGCAGCATGGCAGGAAGTGTAGCAGGCCTGCAGGGAGTGTAACAGGCATGGCAAGGGAGTGAAAACAGGCATGGCCCAGGATGTAACAGAATGTAGGAAAGTGTAGGCCGGCATGCGGAATGTAGCAGACAAGCAAGAGGAAGTGTAGCAACCTGCAGGGAGTGTAGCAAGCATGCAGAAGTGAACAGGGCATGCTGGTAGTGTAGCATGCGATGGCTGGGGAGTTTGTAGCAGATCATGCAAGAAGTGAAGCAGACCATGCAGGACGGTAGCAGACAAGCTGCGGAGTGTAGCAGACAAGCAGAAAGAGTAGCAGGGCACAGCTGGGAGTGTAGCGACATTGAAGGAAGTGTAGGCAGACATACAGGAAGTGTAGCAGCCATGCAAGAGTGGAGCAGGCATGCAGGAAGAGTAGCAGACATGCAGGAACGTGAAGCATACAGGTAGAAGGGTGTAGCAGAACACGCAGGAAGTGTAGGAGACATGCAGGAAGTGTAGCAGGCATGCGGAAGTAGTAGCAAGGCATGCAGTAGTGTAGCAGACATGCTGGAAGTGTCAGCGGTATGCTGGAGTGTAGCAGACATGCAGAAGAGACAGACATGCAGGAGATTCAAGCAGGCATGCAGGAAGTGTAGCAGACATGCAGAAGTTGTAGCAGACAATACATGCAAGGAAAAGTGTACAGGTATGCAGGAAGTGGTTGCAGGCATGCTGGGAAGTGTAGCAGGCAATCCGGAAGGAAGCAGGCATGACAGGAAGTGTAACAAGCATGCAGGAAGTGTAACAGACATGCAGGAAGTTAGCAGACATGCAGAAGTGTTTCAGCAGCAGGAATGTAGCAGACTTCAGGAAGTGTTAGCAGGTATGCAGGGAGTGAATCAGACATGCATGGAGGTAGCAGGTATGCGGAGAGTAGCAGGTTATGCAGGGAAGGTACAGAACATGCAGAAGGGTAAGCAGGTAAACAGGGAGTGTAGCATGTAAGCAGGGAGTGGATCGCAGACATGCCAGAAGTGTAGCAGACAAAGCATGAAGTGTTAGCAGACATGCAGGAAGGTAGCAGGTTGCAGGGAGTGGTGCAACATGCAGGAAGTGTAGCAAGACATGCAGGAATTGTAGCAGGAATGCAGAGAGTGGTGCAGACATGCAGGGAAGTGTAGCAGATATGCAGGAGTGTAGTCAGCATGCACAGAAAAGTGGTAAGCAGACATGCAGGCAGTGTAGCAGAGCATGGCAGGACGATTAGCAGGTAGGCCGGGAATGTAGCAGACCAGCAGGAAGTGTAGCATACAAGATGCAGGCAGATGTAGCAGACATTCAGGAAGATTAGCCGGTATGCAGGGAGTGTAGCAGATATGCAGGAAGTGTAGCAGGTATGCAGGGAGTTAGCAGGCCCTGCAGGAGT